ATTCGGGGATGTCTACACAAAACGGGCCCTCCCATCGACCATAATTACAATCAAATTCCCAATTGCGTCGGGCACGATATCCGCCGACGATGGCAGCTTCCTCGCGCTTGCCTCTTTCGTCGCGTTGCTCGTCACCGTCCACGAAGACTGGGCCCCGTCGCTGCATGTCACGATCGCCGTATGCAGCGAAGGGGTCAGCCTCGACGTGCGGGGGTGGAAAATCGTCGAAGAAATTCACCTCCGAGATTGTCTCCTAGCCGTCTTCGTCGCCGGACGGTGGTTATGGAGATCTCCAGCGGGGCGCCCCGCCTGGACCACGACCTTCACGTCCTCCGCAAATTCCCCCATACACGCCCCGGTTGCCGGTGTCACGGTACGTTTGCTTGTCCCGAACCATGGTACGGATAGTTAGACATATGTCCTCGATCTCCGCGGACAGATCTGCAATCTGACAACCCAACGTATCGAGCTGGCGGCCAAACCACTCGGTCCGCCGGCTCAGGTTGTAGATGACGACGATACGACTGTCGTTTGCAGCATCTTGTCTTCGCGACAATATCGTGAATCGTGCTGACTTCTGATACCAACTGATGTAGGGAAGCGTACGAGTGGGAAGGATAAACGAGATACTCTCTCGATCTCACAATCAATTCATATTCTTATTCAATAATTAACCATCTCATAACAAAGTAGAATAGTCCTTTAAATAAGGCTTCTAACCCTAGACCTTAACTTGTCCAACAAGGCAAGATATCTTACTATATATTAAAAATTCCTAACTTATTCTAAGACACTTATAATAATAATAATAACAATAATAATAATAATAATATAATAATAACAATAATAATAATAATAATAGTAATAAAAATAATAATAGATACTAATCTACACCATCCACCCACTGATAATAGTTAAATGATCAAAGCTTACTTCAATTTGCAAAAATATTAAACCAAAAGGGTAGCCGACATTTTTTGTATGTGGTCGTCCCGATAGCACCGCTTCAGTCATCGGCAATGGAAGCATCGTTCAGAGCCCGTCTGACCACATGCAACCCCTTCAGTCTCCCGGAGATGCTGCTCGTGTACAGGGGGCTCCCAGAAAGCTCTCCAAAGGTTCAGGTTGGTCGGTGCACTCCCTTTATCGCCTGTTTTTTGACAAGATTCAACCTGAAATCAAAACACATAGAATTGATTAGAAAATTACAACAAAATATAGGGGAATTAGATAAATAAAATATGTTGGAATATAAAAACTGAGAGAAAGGAACAAATCTACCTTTTCGTTCGCCGGAATCTGGCCGGACAATGAAGACACGAAGTCTCCTGGCTCAGATCGCCCTTGAGCCCAACACCCTCGGTGAGTCACGGCTCGGTGGTGGTCAAAGGCGACGGCCCCAGTTCCTCGGCTCTATACCTGGGCTGCACCTCACACACAAGCGAAGCACCCAGTTGTTAAGGTAGAACAACAAACGCAGTGAACAAAAAT